CTTTATCAGGATCGGGACTGCTATTCCTTCTCCTTCTATCTATTGGATTATCACGCATGTTAAAATCGTGTTCGCCGCAATCCAATTCATTATTGCAATCTTCTCCGCTTTATTTAACTCCTATCCGTGTTATGCGACCTTCTCTTCGCAAGCAAAATCAGGGGGAAAAATACTGCCCGAGTACAATAAAAGGAGAACCCACAGAGAAACCAATAGGCATTGGAGAATCAATATGCTTTGCTGCAACAATGGGCACTCAGATGATGGCATGCTCGCTGCTTGTGGCCGGCGCCCCAGTGTCGCCGAAGCGACGTTTGCCATAGATAGATTTAAATATTTTTGATTAATTTATTGGTGATCTTTTTCACCGTCTATTTATTTAATCGTTTGTACCAGTTGCCCATATCTCTTTTGTTAGCCACACCCTTTTGTGCTAACCCCATTTCTGATCATTTCTCCTATGCTTATTCAATCATTTTATTCATTCATTAAGTTTTAGCTATTTTTAGCTTTACTAATTTCTTCTTTAACTTGAAAATTGGGGGGAAAATATAAAAAAATACGATTAATTTTAATTCGAAGGGAGAGGGGGGAGAGAGGGGGGGGGGATTTTAAAAATGTATATATGTATAAGAGAGAGAATTTTTAAAAATTAAGTCGATGAATATGGAGGTAAAAATTTTAGAGTAATAGAAATGAAGAGCAATGGAGGGTTAGAGAGGTAGGGGAAAAGAGTTGGCGGAGAGTTGTTTCGAAATTTCGATTTTTGAGGGTTTTTTCTAACGAATTTTCGAATTTTTTGAAAAAACCCAGACTGCCTTTTTAGGGCCGCAAATTTAATAAGTGAAACTAAACATTGGGTTTTTAATTTGTTTGATTAAATTTTTGGTTTTTTTTTTTAATTTTTCTTTTGTTAAATTTTTAACTATAAATTGTTTATGTCGCCGAAGCGACGTTTGCCATAGATAGATTTAAATATTTTTGATTAATTTATTGGTGATCTTTTTCACCGTCTATTTATTTAATCGTTTGTACCAGTTGCCCATATCTCTTTTGTTAGCCACACCCTTTTGTGCTAACCCCATTTCTGATCATTTCTCCTATGCTTATTCAATCATTTTATTCATTCATTAAGTTTTAGCTATTTTTAGCTTTACTAATTTCTCTGTGTATTTTCTCCTTTAATTATTTACATTTTTTCCCCACCTGTGCTTTAGTTAATTTTTCCGACTTAGGTTTTGGCCTTTAATTCATTTTAAATTCACTTTAACTAAATTGGCCAAACTTAAGTCTTTTTTCACTTTTTTTTAATTTTATGGTTATAAACCCTAGTATTAAGTTTAAGGTCCCTCGGAATAAATATTTTAATTTGATTATTCTTTCCTTTTTTTTGTTTGGTATTCCTTTGCCGCCCTTAGGCAACTTCAATAGCTCGTCAATAAAGAGCTTTGGTTCCGTCCACTCGCCCTAGAGAGTTGGACCACTTTCTGAAGAAGAATTTAGGGCTTCCCGGGACAGTCTAATTCAATCCCGACAACTGCGGTTCACACCTGTCGCGCCGCAACCCCATTTTTGTTTTCTTCAGCGACAGTTTAATGAGATTTTCTTTGATGGTGTAGCTTTTTTAATTTATTTTTAATGGTTACTGAAGACTGTTGGTCTCTTTAGAACATCTTTAGATGGGCCGAATTATGGATGACTCGAATTGGGCATTTTTGCTCAAATTGAGGGACCGACTGAATTGAGGGGCCGAATTCAGGGGGCCTATTCCACGAAGCGACATTTACATCAAATGTAGCGACATTTGACAATCGCTTGCCATTCCGATTGCGATTGTGTTCCAATAGCAACTTCAAAATTATTTTGTGACATCAACATCGACATCTACTTTCAGCGACATTGAAAGCGAAATGTCGCGATTTTGTTCCACAAAGATTTAAAATTTGAGTGTCAATCGAGACTAGCAATCGAAATGTTAATTTTTGGCGAAAAGCGTTAATGCTGTTTGTTAATGGGAAATTGTGTTTTTAAAAATCCAAATTCAAATTAAAAATTAAATATTTTTAGATACATTAGAGTATGCTCTATTTTTTAATAAAAAATTTTAAAAATTTTCTTTTCAAAATAAATTTACTATAAGCCCTCGCACAAAGTACCTCATTTTTTAGCGAGGGTAGGTATTTCAGCTGAACCTTCCAATTTGGCTAAAATTGTGAGGAAGATGTTTAAAGAGGAGGCTGATGAAAAAGAAGCTACTTTAGTAAATAATGGTCAGTCTTTCCTTTTCCCCGATTCCACTCATTCCTGAAATATAGTTTATCTCACTTTAATGTCAAACATTTCTTCCTAATGCTGTGATTACATAAAAGGCGTCTTGCGGAAGAAAGTAGCATTCTAAAGAAAGAGAGACAAAATCGGGCCCTATATGAAATTAGGTTGGGAATCGTTTTTTTCCTCACTTGACATGGCATTTTCTTCCTTGTTCAACATTTTTTTCTTGTTCAGTTCCATTAAATTTGCCTGTGTCATCATCAAATGAGTAATGATCCTTTCCATTAATCCTTTTCTTTATCATTTCCCATTTGAAATGCCACAGAAAAATTTAATGGAACTGAACAAGGAAGAAAATGTTGACCATTATATCATGTCAAGGAAGGAAAAAAGTAATGAAAAAAACAATTCCCAACGTAATTTCATATAGGGCCCAAAATCGCGTCTCCTCATTCCGCAAGATGCTAAACGCTAATTATGTAAGTACAGCATAAGAACTGACAAAATAATAAAGTCAGATTTCATAAAAAAATCTTCATTTAGTGTTTTCCTCTTTACATAATTTCTGCTTCACTGGAAAATGATTGCCAAATAGCGACGTATCTCTTCCAAATTTTCAAGCCCTACAAATCTTATTTGATAAATATGTAGTAATTCATTTTCTGTTCGATTTAAATTTGTTATGGGATGATCACGCACTTAAATAATTAAAATTTAAATATTTTAAAATAAAAAAACTTCTAATTTGATTACTTGGTACTTATGTAAAATCCACCCCCCCCCCCCCCATTTTTTGTTTAAGATAATTATCCGAACTTTACTCTTACACAGCAGGGGTGGCGCGAGTCTCACAAAATACGAGACACGAGATTTCACGAGATACGAGACCTCTAAAAACACGAAATTTCACGAGATACGAGACACGAGATACGAGACGAGCGCCACCCCTGTTACACAGCTATACTTTTTCAGAACCCAAGTATGTATGATCCGGTATTGTGCCTGTATACTATAACTCTGGGTTAGAGATCTCTTTTCACATTGATGATCTTATAGGAATACCCTGAATCAACAAGCCTTTGTTATTGCATATAAATCAACTGGATCTCTCTCCTTTGGGGTAGAAAACATTACTTCAAGTTTGGCTACTTACCGTAATTACCAAGATGAAAATTGGTTATTTCCGTAAAAATAGTTAGCTCAGAAAGTAATCCTCTATTTAAATTGTTGGCTTCAATTTCAAACGAATGAGAATAAATGACATAATCTCTAATTGATATTTGAGCTCTAAAATTAAGATTATTATTAAGTGTAAAATTTAACACGTAGAAAATAATTTTCTTTAATTTTTTAAAAGAAATTTTTATTTCTCAAAACTGTTTTTGTTTGTATTATGTAAAAAAATCCGAAATGGGGTTATAAATTAGGGTGATTAATTCAGACCGAAACCCCTTTTCTTGACATACTTACGGTATCGTTTCAAAAAACTGTCTATATCCATCTACATTTTGACCATAATTTGAAAAGAATAGACGATTAAGTGTTCGGGCTAGAGCCAACAAATGATAATAAATAAATAAATTCTTTTCTTTTTGTGATGGCCGTCGTAAACGGTTGTAAAGTTGTTCGCGTATTTCAGGACTAAAAAATGTTGTGAAAATTTAGGCACTATCTAAAAGGAAGTGCGAGTCATATTTATAACTAGGGTGTTTCAAAACATGCAAATGCATATTTTGTATGCGGATATGCCATGAGCTAAAACGCTCAAAAATGGTGTTTTTACATCGGTAGGAAGATTAGGGACCGGGTTCCTATAGCATATTTTTGCATATTTCGGTACTTTTGTGCATATTTGCATATCGATGCATATTTTGGGAAATTTTGCATATTTTTATCTAAATTTGTGCATATTTAGGCAATTTTTGAGAAACTTTAGTAAAAATCGGGCAAAATTTTCAAAATTTTTAGAATTTTTGAGGCAAAAAATTTTTTGATGAAAATTTGTTGAAAAAATTTTTTTGAAAAATTTGTCGCGAAAATTTTTTTTCAAAAATATTTTTCGACGGAATTTTAAGTTAATAAAATCTCCCAAAAGTGCTCTTAAACAATGCTAATTTAGTATTTTATACTTGAAATATCAATTTTTAAAGCACCTTTTTATTAATTTTGCTGCATATTTAGTGCATATTTTGGGAAATTTTGCTTATTTTAGTGCATATTTAGGGTTTTTTCGGTGCATATACATGCGCATATTTCTGGATTTTTCGTGCATATTTTGAAACACCCTATTTATAACTCGAAACAGTCAATTCTCAGTCTAGGTTGTGAGAAGGGTCTCCTTTCGGACCTAAAATCGAAGAACCGAGGTTTTTTCGGTTCTTTATACGTTTCCGTTTCGGATATCGCAGGATATTCCTGTAACCGAAAACCCTTGTCGAGTTACCAGCTTCAGCAATTAGAACCTATGACTTGAGTGTTTGTACCACGTCTACTTGGAATAGGTTCACCTTATTCAACCTATTTTAGATGCTTCATATCAGGGCTGTGTGCCAAAATTTCGCGTGGTTTGCTAAAAACGCCAGATGCCATTTTTTCAAATTATTAAAACACTCCAAACGCAGAACGCAAAAATCGGCTAAAAATGGACGCCATGACGCACAGCCCTGCTCCATATTTCATCCATTCAAGGAGTTAGGAGGGGGCTCTCGGCGGGAGCTTTATTTCAGAATCTACCTTATTGCATTAACAGAATCAAGTTCTGGGTATTTCTGCTCTGGATCATAATCGCCATTATCTATTTCATCATCCGTCATCATTAACACATCAATATCATTATCTACTATTTCAATTCCATAAGTAGCCAAAAACTCTATAAAATTTTCTCTAGTCATAAACTTTCCATAATCAATTAGTCTTTCGTAAATAAAAGAAAGTTTTTGTTGTACAACATTTGGGCCAATAGTATTTCGTATATGTAATGCATTCAAATAATGACGCAACACATAATTTGTAAAGTGCCCAATTACCTGAATTATAAATATTGCAACTCCTGGGCCTATATTTTCGGAGTGTAAAGTAATACGTAAATATTAGGATAGTGAGAGATGTGTTTCTTTACAGTTAAATATTTTTTACGAATTTTTTTCAAAAATTCGGCGTTTCATAATCGTAACACCTATTTCGTTTCTCATACTAATAGAAAAGTTAGAAAAATTCTACAAAATTTCTGTGGTTATAGTAAAGCAGCTGACTGAGCTACATATAGCTATTTCTCTCCTTTGGCTAGTGCAAAAGGTTATTCGGCGGTCAGTCCTCCTGAATCAAATTTTAATTTTTAAATACCCACAGCTTCCATCTTTCTTCTGAAATCCACAAAAGTTCGATCAGCTTGTACTCCAAGCTGATGTATTCCAAGCCCTTCAAGAATTTGTCGACCTTTATTTTCGAGGATTTGTTCAATTGTAGTATTTTCATCAGCAGTTAATTCGTTTTGAACAATCGAGTTCAGAATTCGAATTAAAAAAGAAAGGTCAGTAAGAGAGAAAATTTTTGGGTTCACGGGTTGTTGTAATGGATTGCCGCCAGTTTGGAGTTCAGCTAAATAATTATATTTTTATTTGGGTATTGAATGGCTGTTAAAAGTAATAATGTGTAAGGATGATTCACCCAGCAGCATTTAAAACGCTTAGGCGGGGTTTAAACGATCTAAAAAGAAAAAAGAGAAAGCATTAGTCGATGCCCCGGTAGCTCAGAGGTATATAGCTCCTGCATATAGTGAGCGAAAGCGCCTAGCAACAACTAGCAGGTGGTCCATGTTCGAATCCTGCCTGGTGGCTAAACTTTTGCAAACTCTTTCTAATGTAATAATACCCACAGCTTTCATAGGTGGTAAAAATAAATATGTAAATTGACCTGGAATTGTTGGTCCTGTCCCTTCAACCAAAAATTGTTGGGGGTACGCAACAAAGAAAAACAACAAAATAAATGGAAAAAACATTTTCCTTTTTTTGTTTTGTTGAATAATTAAAGGCAAATATTTTTATTAATGCCTTATGAATTTTAATTTAAAAAATTTTTTATTGGCAGGGAAGCGAATTTATGGAGAGGGAGTGAGAGGGAAGTTAATTGTTTAATTAATTAGAGGGATTTTAAAAATTTTTTATTGTCAAGCTGTGAGGGGGAGGGGGAAGGATTTTCAATAATCAATTATGGGAAGTGGATTTTTTATTGAGGGGGGGATTTAAAAATTAAATCAATTGTTTAATTTTGCAGAAATAATTAATTTAATTGTTTAAACAATTTATGCAAAAAATATTTTTGCAGTAAATTGTTTAGCAAAAACATTTTTACTCCTAAAAGATACCTGAAATTACTGTATTAATAGAATGGCCGGACATACTATTTTTCGATCATCCTCCAGGGGCCATTCTATTGGAGGGGGTCATTCAAATGGAGACGTCCATTCTATTAGAGATAATACGGTATTTCACTAATTAAAACCTTAAGACTACTTAGAATCTCTAATCAAACAAATAAACATTTTATTTATCCTGAACTTCCTGGCAGTTGTTGCCAGGAAGCTTTCGCTCTTAAGTACAAGTGCTTACATTTTTTTAATAAATTTTAAACCCCTCCTAGTAAGTGTTTTAACTTCTCGTTAGAATATGTATGTATCATGGTTCTAGCCTACCCGATTCCCAAAAATCGGGAATTTCCCGTCATTTTTTGGTCGTGAATTCCCAATTCCCGAAAATTTGGAATTTCAATTTTATGTAAATATGTATTTAAAATTTCTATTAAAGTTTTATGTTTGTTTAAATAAAACGATAAAATTTTTAGTGACTTTTTTAACTTAATTAAATGTCCATTATTTCTTTACAAATTTTTTAAGTTTCCTAATTAATAACTTCTCTCACTTTTCTTCATCATTCTTCTCTTTTAATATTTAACGAGTTTTATATCCACCCCCGCTAGGTTTAGCACCACCACCGCCTGAGTAAGAAGCAGAACTTCCACCACCACTTGAGTAGCTTTCAGCAGCTTTTGGTTTAGAAACAGCTGCTGACTTGCTTCCATCACGGTTTGGGCAAGGACTGAAAATTAGACCTTTCGTCGATCATAAAATATTTTTCTTACCAGTAAGCGGCATCCTCTCCTTGTTTGCCTCCTGGGCCTTGGCCTCCTTCTTCTCCATCAGATCCAGGTGGACCTTGGAATCCGTGAGGGCCAGGTACTCCTGCTGGTCCAGGCTTTCCAATTGGACCTTCTTCTCCCTTTGGTCCTTTTGTCCCTTCCGGTCCAGGCTCTCCAGGTGGTCCACGTGGTCCGCGACGACCAATCTGCTTTTCTTCATCTTTGCCATGATCTCCCGACTTTCCAATGGGACCATCATCTCCCGGCTTTCCTTCTTGACCTGAAAAAGATTTTTGAATAATTTGGCCGTTATTCTTTTCATTTACCTTGAATTCCAGGCAATCCAGGAACACCATCACGTCCAGGCATTCCTGGTGATCCTATAGAGAATTTAAATACAAAGTGTTGAAATAACTTGAAAATAAGTCTAACCTTTTGCTCCACGCATTCCTCTAACTCCTGGACGTCCAGCCTCTCCTGGTGAACCTTGTGGACCATGAGGACAATTCTGAGTATTTTTTAATATAATCTCTAAAAGTTGTCATGCAACTTACAATACAACCCTTGAAAGGTGCATTTTGCCAATCTGGAGCATCCTCTCCAGGAATTCCTGGTTTGCCTCCAATTCCAGCAACTCCAGCCTCTCCTTGAGCACCTGGAGGGCCTGCAGGTCCAGCTGGGCAATTATTAGCTGCCTCGCATTTGCAGACAACAGGTTGTGCAGCAGCATAACCATAATTGGAGTTAACGTGAGGGCTTGAACGAGAGTCTCTTTGTGGGTCTATAGCTTGTCGTCGCTCCCGGTTGGACGGAGTTCCGGCTCCAAGTAGAAGCATGTCATTCCAAAGACCGTCAGACTCCGTCTAAATTTTCAATCATACCTTACATCTAGATAACCCCCTAGGACTGCAATAACCCCCTATAATCCCCTAGGTCTCCCTTCTTCCCTTCTCCTCCAACCTCCCCCTCCCATCCTCTACCTTTCCCCTTCTACAAAATGGAGTATCACTTAATCTCTCTGACACTTAAGCAACTCCCCAGTCCATTGGCTAAGTAACCAATACTAAAAAACATATCATAAACTGAAGTTTCTCTGGTATTAGGGAGGATTTAAAAACGAGGTATGTATCAATCCCAAAATTACGTTAAATGTATCCATTTGTTTATCCAATTCCATCCACAAATCCTGCATATCATTCCAAACAGCAAATAAACCTCCCAAGCAAAGGACCAAAGTTGCTCCGCTAAAAGCAATAGCCCCAACAGTAGCTATATGGGTAGTTGAAGAAGACATTTCTCTATCTCTCTCGTTTTTGAGAGTACCACTTTTACCAAAATGGAGACTGATAAAAGAATAAAAGTCCTTTTATATTAAACACATATCCCTTTTTAGCTACAAAAAAGGATAAATTAACGTTAAAAACTGGTACTTTTGTTAATTATATTTGTTAGTTAAGAAGGGAATAATGCGCAGAAATGTCAATCATTTATCGCACAGGAAATGATTTTTTTTCTTTATTTTTTCCTTTGTTAGCCGCTAAAAAGTAGAAGAGAACTTTTATTCGAAGAATAAACAAAAGATTCTCGTTTAAATCCGCAAGTTTTTATAAGAAAACTTGCGGATAAATTACTTATAAATGAGAAAAAACGTCAAATGTTGATCGACGCTAAACCCCCCAACGTGTAAAAAAGAACAGGATTAGCGCAACCACAATTTAGTAATTTAACAAAAAAATACCTAACTAGTAATTTATCAAAAGTTTAGCAAAAAGATTAATGCACTGTTTAAATTATTGAGAAGGAAATTTTGGAAAGAAAAATTTTAAAAATTCAAATTAATCGTATAACAATTTTGAAGACTCGGTCGAAGACGACTCGACTTTCTCCGCAGTTCGATTCGACTTTCTTCTCAATTATGTACACAAACGATGAAGTTTCTCGTCGTGTTCGCTACTTTAGCAAGTCCCGGACGTAACAAAGGTCGAATAATTTTTAAAAAAATATTATAAAAGTTTGTGTCCGCACTAAACTACAAAGGTAATATGTATGTACATAATTAGGGTTGCCGTTTTCGAGTCGGGCCGACGGTCGAGTCATTTTTTTCGGGCTTCATTTTTATCGAGTCGGGTCAAACGAGTCTTTTTCGGGCCTCATCTTTATCGAGTCGGGCATCGAGACTTTTTCGAGCCTTTTCTCAAAAAGATTTATTCAAAAAAACAAAAATAATTTTGCTTATTTGTCATCAAAAATAAATCATATTAACTAGAGTCCGGCAAAATCGCATTCCCGGGATCCCGGAACGGGATTTTTTTCAAAATTTTGTACGGGACGGGATCCCGCGGGATTAATCCCGTAATCCCGGTAATCCTGTTTTCAAATTTCCCGGGATCCCGCCGGGATTCCGGGATTTTTACAAAAAAATTTCTACGTAATAGATATCGGGGATATTGGTGTATTTGGAGGGATATCAGTGGATTTGGAGGGGTATCAAAGAATTTGGAAGGATATCGGAGGATTAGCAAGGATATCTGAGGATTAGTAAGGATATCGCAGGATTAATAAGTATATCGGAGGATTAGATGCGGAGATGCGGATTATGAGGTCAGTTTGGGCGGATTAAGAGGTCATTATGAGGTCATCCTTGATCCACCTTAATCCTCCTTTCTTCGAATCCCCATTAATGCCACCGAATCCACTGATATCCCTCTTAATCCCCCCAATTTCTCTTGAGACTTCTCTTTATCCCTACAAATCCCCTTAGATCTCTCCAAATCATCTTAATCCCTGTAAATCTTTTATCCATCTTAATCCTCATATCTTCAAATCCTCTTAATCCCTCCAAATCCACTCGCCTTTACCAATATCCTTCTATAACTCCAAATCCACCGATAGCACTCAACTCCTTTCCTAGTATAGCCCTCAACTCCTAGATAGCCCTCAACTCCTTTCCTAGTATTTTTTTCCCACAATTTTTACATTCTACTTTATTTTCCAATGGAATTTTATTAAAATGTTTCCAAACATCCGAAACCTTCGGCATACTCACGAATATTAAAGATTTTTGGCTTAAAAATAAGAATAAAATAAAGAAAAAATAATTATTGAATAAAATACATAAATCGATCCAAAAGGAAATATTTATCGAGGCACATTCGAGTCGGGCCAGTTTTTTCCGAGTCATTTTTTTCGGGCCTCATTTTTATCGAGTCGGGTCAAACGAGTCTTTTTCGGGCCTCATTTTTATCGAGTCGGGTCAAACGAGTCTTTTTCGGGCCTCATTTTTATCGAGTCGGGTCAAACGAGTCTTTTTCGGGCCTCATTTTTATCGAGTCGGGTCAAACGAGTCTTTTTCGGGCCAAATATCCTAGGCCCGACTCGATCTTTCGGTCCGAGTCGGGCCATTTTGGCAACCCTATACATAATAAAAATGATTATAACTTCGTAGTTTATTGTGTTCATTTGTGTACTATTTATTACAATAATTTACGATTCAATAACAGGTAAATTATTATTACAAGTAAGATGCATGCATGAAAGGAGTCAAAATTCCGATTTCCGGCACTTCAAGTTGCATTCAAAAATCAGACCCTGTCAGCCCCTCTTCCAACAGAAGGAAATTAATCAAAAGGAAAAAAATAAAACGACTAAAATTATTTAAAAAAATTAAAAAAAATTAAAACCAAAAAGGTAAAAAAAATCAAAAATCAGTCACTTTATTTAGTGTATTTTACTCTCAAAAATATAAAAAAAACATTAAATATACATAATTAATCTTCTATAAATATTTCTTATTTTTACAAATATTTTGAACCAAGGATGAGCGCAAGAGACAATCTCAAAAAACACAAACAAAATTTAACGCAAATAACGCAAAACGTAATGCGCTCACCCCTGTTCTGAACGATTCTTTCACACTACATATTCACAATTAGGCGAAAACAATTTTTTGACCAAAATTTTTGTTAAAGGTTGCTCAAATTTGATAAATAAACAATTTTAAAAAATATATTTAAATTAATCAAAAAATTGTGTTTGTCAATAAATGTTCAGAGAAAAAATAAATTTAAGAAAAAATAACCTTCCCTTCCTTTCTCCTCCAACCTCCCCTCCAACCTCCCCTCCAACCCCCTCCTCCAACCTCTCCTCTCTCCCTTCTTTCTCATTTTATATTTTTTAAAATTTAATAAAAAATGTTAATTAATTTAAATATTTTAATAATTTTTTGTCTTCCCCTATTTTTATTAAATACACAATTAACACAATCTGTCCATGTTAGTATTGATATGAATCCGGAAAAATTTGAAAAAATTATTCCACAAATAAAAATTGAGGAAAATAATGATTTTGTAAAACATTTATTTTCTTTGAAAAATAAAGAGGTTGGAAAACTTGTTTTTATTGGGGGTTATGTATGTGTTGATATTAGTAGACCGAACCGAGAGTATCATAAGACTTATGAGATACATATCTAGAAAAATATGTCTCACCAACTGAAATGTTTGTTCGAGATTGAAAAAAAACACAAGAACAAAATTAAACACAAGAAGCGCTCTAGTAACACAAGTGCCTAATTAAAAGCAAATAAGGGGAGAATTCTAATGTATTGCACCTTCCACATGTTTAATTCCTAAGGCTAAACAGTAGGTGGCGTGGTGTAATGGATAACACATCAGTCCGGTCTTCTAAAGATGCTGGTTCGCTCCCAGCCGCCGAATAACCTTTTGCACTAGCTAAAGGAGAGAAATAGCTATAGCCCAGCTTAACTCACCGGATTGTTCAGCGAATGCTGAATGCATGACAATCCATCCCATAGGCGCTGGGTTAGAAAAAAGGAATTCCGCCAGCGGCGATGATTTAGTCTCTACTTCACTATACCTACAATAAAGTCGAATCTCGTTACAGTATATCCCCTCCTCGTTTTAGTTTACGATTTTTCCCCAAGGACTTTTTTGTCCGAAGGAGGAATTTTCAGAGTTCAGACAACTCTATGGCCTATCTTAAAAAGATAATTCAAATAAACCCCAAGTGTTTATATTCTTTTTTTCTAGCTAGAAAATTGGAAGAAAGATCACAAATGTGGAATGACAGTATCACAAAAGATCAAGTTTAAAAAGGTTATTGAAAAATCTGAAAAAAATTTCTTTTGTCAATTTAAAGGAATTAAAAGACTTTTTGGAAGCAAAAACTAATCAGATGTATCCTGAAAGTTTTAATATTCGAGTAGACAATAAAGTTGAAGCAGAAATTTATTCAACAACAATTAAACATTATGTCCCTCCACATTTTACATTTCGGGTTAAAAAATTTTTTTCAAATTATTTTAAAGTCAGACGCTCATTTATAAGATATATCCTTCGTGAGAGCTGTTTTGAAAGTTAAAAAAATAATTTGCTGGTGTCAGATCATCCAAAATACCGTCCACCCACTAAAGTATAAAATACCTTCAATTTCGCTTTGAAAAATTGTAATAAAATTTTTAAGCATAGTCATATGACTAATCAAGATCAATAGCCGTATGGTCCAAGGATATTAAAATTACATAATATCGACAAATCGAATTTATTATCTGTAAAAGTGGACGGTGTTTTTTAAACGTCCGGACGGTATTATTGTCAGACGGTGATTTGTCCCAATACAAAGACCGACGAATTTTTAGAAAAAACATCTTAATTCGAAGTGTATTCTTATAATGAGGGGGTCTACTTGTTTATTTTACATATTTTATACTTTAATTTTCAGCATTTCTGCCCTCAAAATATTTCATATTTCCCAATTATTTCTTTAATTGGAGGATCTCTATCAATTCGAGCACATTACCGGTCAATCAACACTACCGGCGATTTACATGTTCAAATTGGGGCAATGAGTGCTGAATACGAAAAATCAACTAATTCCAAAATTGTCGAGTGCTACTCGAAAGTCGGACTTGTAAATGTTCTTTTTAACCCCGAATTGAGTTTAGAAGTGGACAAGGCATTAGCTGAAGATGTTAGAGACAAAATTAAAGAAGTATTGTGTAATCAACTGACGAAATTTGTTGAGCAAAACGAACAGAAAATCAAAGAATAATGTTAGAGAAAATCAAACCAAGGGTTGGGGTCATAAGGGCGCGGGGCCATTAGGGCGCCAGACTAGAAACTGACACTTAGGCGAAACCGAAATTTATGAAAATTTTCTCAAATTTCTTTAACATCCTAGACTACCTCCTCCAGAAATTTCAGAATTTTTCATAAGATATTTCTGAAGTTATAGTCGATAAACTGCGAAAAATTAGGGTTTTTTCGGAAAATCGACATTTTTGGCCACAATTTCCGAAATTCTTGATCAAAAATTCGGAAATTTTTGGAAAACGTAGATTATTGGAAAATTTTATCTTTTTTGATAAGCAACTCACTGTTTTATAAGCTCGCGCCCTAATGGCCCCGCGCCTAATGGCCCAGTCCCCAAAACATTTATAATTCAAAACGTCCAAAAGAGAAAAATAAGCCAAATTGTAGAGGGAATATTTTGATAATTTTATTAAGGGACACGCCCAAGTAGGCGCGCGACCATAACGGCGCAAAGCCATAACTTACTGGAAAATTTCTGGCCCTTAACAATTTTGATACCAATTTCTTTAGCTCGATGAGTGGAATCGTTTAATACTAAATTTGGTAAGATTCGGAAATCTTGAAGCAAGTTATGGCTTTGCGCCGTTATGGGGGCGCGCGCCTAAATAGGCTGTACCTTTTATTAAGGATCAATTTTTTTATATTTTAAAATTTATTAATTTTTAAAACTAAATAAAATTAAAAACAAAATATTTATTTAAATTAAATTCCATGTTCTTTCCTAATCTTTTTGGCTTCTTCAAATGCCATTTGTTCTCTCAAAAATTTAGCATGTTCCTCCCGACGCTTATTTTCTTTAAATTCTTCATAAAAATTTTTGAATTGTTCAGTGGCCTTTTTGGCCCTTTCATTATTGTAATATGGATTTGTTTCTCTCCATTTTTTCTAAATTAGAAAAGAAATTGTAAAACTTGCGGATTTTTCCCTTATTTTTATTGGATTGTTCGTCAATTTTCTAAACTTCATCTTCAATCAGAGGTGAAATTTTGCATCGCGGACGCAGACTTTTTGCAGTTTTATGTTTTATTCAACAAAATTTTATGATTTTGACCCCAAAGGGATAAAAAAGAAAAAAGTCCGCAAAAAACAGAAAATGTCCGCAACGTTCACAAAAAACATCCTCAAGAATAAAAATGTCCGGTTCTTGTCCAAATTTGGCATCCAAACAAATTTTCATACGGCAAATTAATGGAGATAAGTACCCGGTTCGATTTAATACCATAAAATTTATGGGAATAGAAAGCTCTGCTCATCCAGGGTAAAGGTTCTAACACACAGAACCGGATACTTATCGACATCGATTGGACACATAAAAATTTATTCGAGCCCATAAATATTTCATTGTACGGTAATCTGGACAAGAGCCAAAATTTCGCAAAAAATAGTGTCCGCAAGTCTTTACCCTCCCAAATTTATTTTTCAAAAAAATTTCCAACTTACCATTTTTCCTTCAACAAAAGTACTATTAAAAATCCAAACAGCAGCCACAGGAAAGAAAACATACAAGCAAACTTTCATCACTTCAGCTCTAAATTGGTATCTTCTAATTGGAGTATCCATCATTTTTCGATTTTGTTCTATAGCTTTTTTCATGTTTTCGTCAATTTTGGCTTGCCGTTCTTTTTTTTCTTGTTGAGACAACATTTTTAGAAGAAATAAAGATAAATCTGGTTTTACCTGGAAAAATAGAAGATTTTTGTAAATAAAATTCAGAAAAGTTGTTATACACATTCAAAAATAAATTTTATTTTTCTCTAACTTCTATAGAAAAACAACAAAAATTAATTTTTTGGCAGATTTAAATAAAAATAATTTTCTTGGCATTCTGTCTTTTTTCTTTTTTTATTCCTAGTGAAGGGCAAAATCGATTTTGCTAATGCCAGATCCAATTTCCGGGCTTATTACTAGAGACGGATCCTGCGACTTCCTTCTGTGACAATCCGTGGATCGCGAAATAACTCACCACCATACCTGAAAATCCGGCCAGAACCTCTGCGTCGCCAGTCACTACTTTTTGCCCATTTTCCCCTTTTCTCGATAAATTTCTTGATTAAAATTTGAAGTATTTTATTTATTTTTCCATTATCTTTTTGCTTCTAACGTCTTATCCTTACACTTAGTAGGTGCCGGCCCGGTCTGGTTCGAAAGATCGAGTCGGGCATCGAATTTTGGCCCGAAAAAGACTCGGTCGGGTCGGCCCGATAAAATTGAGGCCCGAAAAATGATTCGAACGTCGGCCCGACTCGAAAACGGCAACCCTTATCCTTAGCTTTTTAAAAAGGTTTGTCCGCAAGTCGAGTCCGCAAAACTCGAAATTTTTATGCTTATTTTTCTCACATTTTTTATTTGATTTTCTACGTATTTTGTTTTGTTTTTATAATTAATTTTTTTGTTTTCTTAGTTATTTTTGCAGTCTAAATTTTTATAAATATTTAATAAATTTTGTTTTTAAATGTCAAGTAAAAAGGTTTGTTTCTGCTTAATTAAGTAACTTTTCACAAAATTTAGTTATCGCCTAGTGAGGAACTTGAGAAGCAATATAGGGATTATAAAGCACAATTTGAGGAGTGGAAACTAAAAAATCGGTTTATTTTTTATTTTAATTTTATTTTTGCGGGCAATTTTAATAGATTTTGAGGGTGTTATTTCCGGGGAGCAGGCCAACTTACCGCAGAGCTATAACTTCGTTCAGAATTGAATCTAGGACGCCCTGGTATAGTTCGATGCGCCTCGACGAGCCGAATCTAACCATACCAAGTCGTTCCGGATTCGACCATTTTGAACGAAGTTATAGCCTCGACGATAGGTTGGGTTCGCGGTAGGTTGGGCTGCTCCCTCTGGTTAGGTATCGGATAGACCCAAAATTCCTCTTTGAGAGGGTTTTGTATCGAAAAGAAGAAAACATTGGGCAAAATTTGCCCGCAAAACTTCAGAATTTTATTTTTTACTTCATAGAGATTCTGAAGGAACTGAGGCTTATGTAAATTATGTCAAACAGTTCCATCAGTGGGAAAAAGACGTTGAAAAAAGACGAGCAACGTTACGGCAGAAGGCAGAAATTGACAGAATATCAGCAGAAAAAGAAGCTGAAATATCTAGAAAAGAAACTGAGGAAAAGAGGAGAAAAGAAGGTTTTTTTGAATTTTTAAAAATTTTTAGAAATTTTTGGAGTGCTTTTCCCAATTCTTTTAAAGCATTTGGGAATTTTGAACTTTATGGACTACATTTCGATTTCTTTCCTTATTTTCTCTGTTCCATCTCTGCCATTAAATTAACACCCCGACCAGGTTAACACCCTGACCTTTCGGGGTAGGGAGCGTCAGGGATCGGATTTTTGCCGAGGAAGCCATGTCGGAGGTCGGGGTTGACTTTTGGGTCGGAGTTTCGGGGGACGGGGTGCTGCCCTATTACAAACTACAAATTATAAAACACGTGACGTTTTCGATTTTGACTGTCATTTTGCTTCATGGCTTGGTAGTTTTGGTGTGCTTTATGAAAAATGTTTAAACTACTAATAAGCAATTATCCTCAAATTGGTCAGCTACCCAAAATTATTTATTTTGATTTGCTGGAACCAAAATATGAGAAAATTGGGGAAAAATGAAATTGGGGGCCTATAAAGTTAAAAATCTTCATAATCTTTTCCCTCCAAATGAATTCTCAAAAAATTTTAAATTTTAAATAGAAGCAGCAGCAAAGGCATATGCAGAAGAACAAGCACAATATATTTCAATGCATCAAAAAGCAATGCAAGAAGAACAACAAGGGAGACTTAAACAACAAAAACAAATAAAAAATTCTTTTTCTGGAACTAATTTGGATTTGATGGCTTCTCCAGTAACAGATTTTCATTCATCTCCAGTTCATCAACAACAACAAAAATCTTTAAAAGGCGAAAGTAGTATTGGAATACCTGAAGATGATAATAATGCTTCTGGTTGGTTTTTTTCTTTAAATTTTTTTATCATTCTCATTAAATAGGTTTTTAGATTTCCTTTTTAAAAATAAATATGAAATGAGAATAAAAGGCTATTAAATAAAAGCATTAATTCGATCTTGCTGCGGATCAGAGGTGGGTCGGAACAGTCAGAGGTGTCGAAAATCGGAAGAGCCGGAAAATTTTCGGTGTCCAAAAGTCGGAAATCGGAATTTTTTTCGGAAATCGGAATTCTGATTCCCCTCTACTGCGGATTGATTCGGCAAACTTGCATCTCTCCTTTACTTCTTCCCTGAAATGTAGGAGATGATAAAAAACTGAAATACCATACAAAATTTCCGAAAAATTTTCTCGGGATGTTAGAAACTTTCTTTAAAAAAGTTTTTTATTTTCCCAAAAATTTTTTCTTTTATTATTTCTCCTTAAAAAAACTTTTTCTTTATACTTCCTTTACAAGTCAATTTTTGTTACCCCTATCTTTAAATTATTTTTTTAATTTTTTTTAAAAGATATGCTTTCTGCAATGCAGCAAATGTTTAGTATAGTTATGGGGGATACAGCAAAACTTGCAGCAGCAGCAACAAAAGAAAAAAGTGCCAATAATAGCAGCAACAATTCTATTTCTGCAATCCCTGCAGCCCTTCCACCTCCTTCAAATATTACTGAAACTTTACAAAAACCTGGTGTCTCTTCTGATTTGTCTTCACAACCTCCACAACTTTGGGGCAGTGAAGGAGCTTTGTTTTCTTCTGCGGTTTGCTTGAAAGATTTTTTAAAATTAATGGATATAGTGTAGTTCACCGGAGGTAAAAGTTGGGGACGAGACATATGTCATTCGATTCGTCTCGGCGAGCTGAGTCGAACGGTACCACTCCCAATTTCAGGAAATGATTCTGGACCGAGTTATAGGTCCCGAAAAATCGAAAAACCATAGGGGGGACCAAGCACTTTTTTGGGGTGAAAAATTCGAAAATGCAAATTATACCTCATTCGAAAGAGCTCGTCGAGCTGAGTCGAATGACACCAAAATCAACGAAATCCGACTTGATTGGACTGAGTTATAGACCCCTAAAAACCGAAGATCCAAAGGGGCGATTTTTGGAATAAAAAATTTTTTATACAAATAATATCTCATTCGAAAGAGCTCGACGAGCTGAGTCGAATGACACCAAAATCACCGTAATTGAACAAGATTAGACAAAGTTATAACACAAAAAACCTAAACCTATGGAGCGTCGGCGAGGCGCTTGTGCAAAACCCCGCGCTTCGCGCGGGGTTTTGCGGCACGCGCCTCGCGGGGAGTCTACGGGGGCTGGGTCTGGCTCGTAACATGATCCTATTCCCATTTTCCTTGCTCTGGACGTATTTGGGGCCTCCGTAGCAGCAAAAATCTCCACAGATGCTATAGGTAAGGAGCTTAAACAAACGGTCATAACTTTGTCAAATCAAGTCGGATTTTGTTGATTTTGGTGTCATTCGACTCAGCTCGACGAGCTCTTTCGAATGAGGTATAATTTGCATTTTCAATTTTTCACCCCAAAAAAGTGCTTGGTCCCCCCTATGGTTTTTCGATTTTTCGGGACCTATAACTCGGTCCAGAATCATTTCCTGAAATTGGGAGTGGTACCGTTCGACTCAGCTCGCCGAGACGAATCGAATGACATATGTCTCGTCCCGAACTTTTACCTCCGGTCAGGCCCGTAGCCAGGGGGGGGGTGAGGGGGGGAATTCCCCCCCCCCCGAAATGGGAAAAAGGAAAAAATTTGGGGAAGGGCTGGGGCAAAAAAAGTGAATTTTTTTGGCCTACGGCCTCTGAAATTTAAAAAATTTTCGCCTGCGGCGCTAAAAAGGAAGAAATCTGGCTTTTTGAGGTCCAAAATTCAAAAAATTTTCGCCTGCGGCGCTGAAAATCAAATTTTTGGCGCCTGCGGCGCCGAAAAAGTGAATTTTTTTGGCCTACGGCCTTCTAAAATTCTCAAAATTTTCGCCTGCGGCGCTGAAAATAAAAATTTTTGGCGCCTTCGGCGCCAAAAATTTGGCGCAAAAAAATTTCCCACCCTCGAAAAAAAATCCTGGCTACGGGCCTGCCTCCGGTGAACTACACTACAGCCTCTTTTTCCTTTGTTTTTCTACCAAAAAATTTTCCTCTAATTTTCTAATGTTAAAGAATACTTTTTTTTAATATTAAAAACTTTTCTTCTTGTAGGATCCAATGTTTCGTCGTTGGAATGTTCGTGCTGCGCCACCAAATTTTCGTGTGCCATACCAACCTCCACCTTCAGGAACGTTAATCCAACCGGGCTGGCTTTATTTACGTAAAATGGAAGAAGCAAAATTGGCATTTGCTCCTCCACCCGACCTTTCTACAGCCCCGCCAATTATTCAGCAACAACAACAATTAATAAATATACCTCAAAATAATTTACCCCAAATGGCAGGGCATCCAATGCCGCCAGCAGCTACACATTTAAGCGTTCCACCGCCCGCGATTATTCCTCATCCCCCACATCCCCATCACCCCCACCATTCCCAACAATTTAATCATCATCAACAATTCCATCCTCCACCTCAATATTCTATTTTCCCTCCAAATATTCCCTCATTATTAATGGGTGGAAATAATTTATCTATTCCTCCACCGCAACATCCAAGCAATCCCCCTCTTCCTCCTCAAGCAAATTTTCGTCCCTATTATAATTTGCATTGAAAGCATTTTGTTAAAGTATTTTTTAAACCCGAACATTTATTGTTTTTGTATTTCATATGAATTAATGAATATTTTTTAAAGATTTCTCGCAATTTTATTTTGCTGTCAAGATTTATTTTGTTATATTTGTTCGCGTTTTTCTTAAAAATTTATTTTTTAATATTAGGCAGTTCTTGAATTTATAATTAATTATCGGATTTCGCTTTCCGTTTGTTCTCATTTGCAAAAATTCGTTTTTTTTTGTTTCTTAATTATTTCAGCACATGTCTATCACAAATTCAATTGTCATTTATTTTATTATAGATACAAAATCAGACCTCATAAGCAGAGGTTGGTCGAAATTTCGATTTCCGGCGTTTTTCTCCTTCCTATTTCTGATTTCCGAAAAAATTTGATTTCCGACACCTCTGACTATTCCGACCCACCTCTGCTCATAAGAAATACTCCCAATCTCCTCTGTTCAATTTACGTTTAGACCGCTTTTTTGTCTTGGTTGGCCACCTAGCCCCCAACGAATTTTAAAAATATTGTGGGCTTTTAAAATATATCTCAACATAGCATTCGTTTTTCGGCCTCAAGGGGTATCTTATAGTAAAGTTTGACAAATATTTTTGGCTGAAATAATATAAATCTTCGTGTTTTATTTGAAAATGTTTTTTACTTTTTTATAAAATAAATGTTTTAGTCTATAAAATTTGCAGATTTGAAATTTTTTAATTAGCAGCATTAAAATTTCTTTTATTTGTAAATATTTTAAACTTGCCAAATAAAAATGTTTGTAAAATAGAAATGCAACTATGTATATAAAAAAGGATTTGGAATTTTTTAATAGTTGGGCAGTTGTTTAACGAGTGCAGGTTCAGTTAATCTTTTAAAAAATTTGAGGTTGGGGGCAGGCCCGTAGCCAGGATGGTATGAAGGAATCCCATAATCCAGGAAAAGAAAATCATTTTGGTAAGGGAGAAAAGCTGGATTTTTTTAGCTTACGGCTGGTTGGGGGATAAGCACGATGATTTTTGTTTTCGTACAATAAAATAATCTTATAGTTTTCGCTTGTCTAATAATGCTTAATTAAGGTTATCTTTGAAATTTCGTTCCTTTTATCGAATTCGGCATGTTTTACAACAATTTTTCGCACAAATTTAAACAATTTGTGGTTATATGTATATAAAGAACAGACAAGTTGTTTTTTAATTGTTTATATTCAATAAAATTTTTTGCTAATAGAATAAATAATGTTTTAATTTGTCAATTGATTTTTAATGTGTTTCTTCTCTATTTACAGTGCCGGAAAAAAAGATAGGACCAGAGGCTGTTAATTTAGTTTTTATCGATTATCTCTTTTCAATTAACTTTTAGAAAAAAAGTTTCAACGCTAAAATTGTAGATCTTTAAATGCTCTTTAAAATGAGTATAAATATCAAGATAATTTACCGACAAAATTTTTTCCAGAAAAATTTAAACGATACTACTCAATTTTTGTGGTGGAAAAAAAGATAGGACCAAGATAATTAAAATTAAAAATATCGACTTTTGTTCGGCTAAAAATTCTATAAAAATTTCTATAAACATTTCCATCGATACCAAGTATAAAATTAAAAAGAACGAAGTCTGTACCTTATTTCTTCATCGAGATCTCAAATCTCAAAAATCAACGGAAAATAGGGGTACAGTACTTCAAAAAATATTTAAACCCCCTGGAGCTTATATTAAAAATTTTATTTTATGCCTATCTGAAAGCCCATAAAATTTACCACAAAATAGTCCGCAAATTAATTTTTCTAAAAAAATACCTGGTTAACTCTAGTCCACTTTACATTAAAAATTCTCAAAATCTCCCAAAATACCCCAGAAATGATAACTTAAAAAATTGCCTTACCTCTATCTCCATGAGTTTTTATTGGAAAAATAAAAACTTCGACTATTTTGTGGTAAATTTTATGGGCTTTCAGATAGGCATAAAATAAAATTTTTAATATAAGCTCCAGGGGGTTTAAATATTTTTTGAAGTACTGTACCCCTATTTTCCGTTGATTTTTGAGATTTGAGATCTCGATGAAGAAATAAGGTACAGACTTCGTTCTTTTTTCTTTTCTACTCAATATCGATGGAAATGTTCACAGAAATTTTTATAGAATTTTTGACCGAACAAAAGTCGATATTTCTAGTCTGGTCCTATCTTTTTTTCCACCCCAAAAATTGAGTAGTTTTTGTTTTGAAATGTTTGTAAAATTAATTGTTGATCAAAAAGGTAATATTTGTACTCATTTAATAGAGGATAGATTAATCGATAATTTCTATCAAATTTTTTCTCTTAAAAGTCTAAAATTCGGAAGAAAATTTGAGGAAAGGAAAATGTGTGCGTCTGGTCCTATCTTTTTTTCCGGCACTGTATTTTTTTATTAAATAAAGGTCCAAACATTTATACATATTTGCTTTTTCAAGCTTTTTTCATTAATTATCTTTAATAAATTATTCAATAATGAGTACAGGATTTATTTAAGGATTAGACATTTTATAAGACTCGGGATTTAATCTTTTAATTTTCGAAAAAGCAAAACAATCAGATTTAACGTCAAGATCGTTTGGACTGAGGAAATTTTGTCATCGATGAAGGATTTACTAAATAGATTAGGGGGCTCAGTTGCCAAATTAAAAAAAACATTTTAGTCTCGTATTGTGTATATCTCATTGTGAGGTCCGATTTTGCGTAAACGCTCAAAACAATAAATAAAGTTCTGAAAATTGAAAAAAACTTAATTTTAATAAAGCGACTAATGCTTTCTCTCTTCTTTTTAGATCGTTTATCCCACGCCTAAGCGTCTAAATGCTGCTCTGCTCCCACCTCGGATCCATACGGATTGCCAAAAATATTAGCTTGGCCAGCTCTTCTTAATCCCCACATATAAATTATATTCTAACTGCAGTCTGTCTTACATAAATTGTTTCTTTAAAAATTGTCTTATAGCAGTGAACAGCCAAATTGAAAATCCCTGTCTTAATTTATAACAATTTTTCGAATTTTAATTTTCGAGGATTCTTTTTGAGCATGATTCATTATTGTATGTGTTGGAAATATATGTATTAGCATTAAATAAAAATAAATCGATGTAGATTGAAAAGGGTGATTTAAACAAAAGGGTGGTTTAAACAAAAAGGTGGTTCAAAGAGCACATGTAAAAGCTGACAGTTTATGAAAAGTAGTGTAATTTAATTTAAATATATAAATAAATTTCCATTTGATCATTTACTTTCAGTAAATAATTTTTATATATTTTTAACTTATTTTTAAATATTTTTTGAGAAAAATGAACAAATTTCTAATTCTAATGTGTTTAATAATCAAATCAAATTCGTGGACTTGGGATGATTATCCATCCCCTAGAGGACCAGATTATCGAAAATGTGGTGTTACAAAACCAGCCTATGTTTGTGATCCGGATGGGTTGTTAACTGATCAACAGAGAGAGGAAATTGTAGAATTGGTTGAGGATTTTAAGGAAAAAACTAAAAGGGTAAACTTTACACCGTCCGGTCGAAACAGCGTCCACACACATTCATTTCACAAAAAGAAAAAAAGGGTAAAAAGAGCATTCGCTGTCCATTAGTCCGCAAAAGGCATTCCGCAAAAAATTTCGTTTTCTGTTTGGGATTTAAATAGATCGACAAAAAGTTTTCTAATATTCGCTAAAACCTCCGTAGTCCCTCCTTTTCTTTATCGTTGATTAAGGAGAGGAGGGAATATGGATGATATCAACGATTGAGGGAGATGAAGAGGATATGGAGATAACGTTCATTACGTCCACTTTTCTGTATTCATACCGTTAATTTCTCTTATTTTCTGTAAAATGCAGAAAAATGTCTTTAGCTTAATCCCTTTTGGGGAACATATGTGCAGCGAGCTGGACTTACCATCTATGGCTATTAGAGCCTAGCTACTATCTATAAAGCCTTTCCTAAAAATTTTATTTCAAATTTTATTACTTTTTGTGAAATGAATGTGTGTGGACGCTGTTTCGACCGGACGGTGTTTTGCCCCGCATCTTAATTTTATAGCCAAATTCAACAGTTCGTTGTATGGATGAAGGCCTTCGACTCATTATAGCCTTAGCAAAAGACAAAATTGGCCCAAATCGTGGATATACAGTATGTTTTTAATAAATGGGGGAGATCAATGTTTTAACTTCGGGCAGTGATGCGGGGGTTCCGGTTCCGGAACCGGTACTGGAATTTGAACCGTGGAACCGATAGATGCCTGGGACCGGTTTGGTGGAACCGAAACAATATTTTGGCTTAATAAAAGAGGGGAGGGCTTAATAAAATTGGCTTAATAAAAGAAAGGAGGGTATCTTCTTTTGATTACGAACTAAAAGCAATTTAGTTCTTTAATTTCAGAATTATATTGATAAAATGATAAACGATTAATTTTATTATGTAGAATTTGTGCATTTATCAAAGTTGGACGTCAACTGATCCAACAAACTGCAAATCAAATGTGCATGGAATTGAAGTCAATTTAGATAGTTACAGTCATTGCCATTGGCTAAGTTCGCTAATGGAACTTCATGAAGACGAATATGAAAAGTTCGCCAAAGCTGGAGTAAAAATTTAAAAAATTCGATTAATGCTACGCTTACATAAAAAACGCAAGACGCCGGCGGAAGACGCAGTTTCGTGCTTACATAAAATCGGCGTCTTCCGCTAAGCGGGAAGACGCAAAGCGTCAAAACGCTAGTTTTATGTAAGCACAAAACAGCGTCTTCCGCCGGCGTCTTGACGCCGAGCGTCTTCCGCAAAAAGCTGCGTTTTTTATGTAAGCACTAATTGCGGACTAAATTTATAACAAATATTTTATTGAAATTAAATTGAACAAATAATATTAAATCATTTTATCCTGCCATGATACCGATCCAACTTCAATGGTAAAATATTCTACTTAGAGGTCGGCGCGGGACGGGATCCCGACGGGATTTTCCGGGATCCCGGATTTTTGTTATTATCGGGATCATTCGGGAGGTAATTCTTCGGTTGTCGCCCCCCCTTTTTATGTTTCCCTGACCATTTTGAGCTTTTTTGCTTGACATATAATTTATTATATATCATTCGAAAGAGCTATCCGAGCTGGGTAGATTGGTACTAAGATCGGTTAGATTTGGCGATTTTGAACAAACTTATGAGGCTAAATCCTCTGTCACTAAATCCTCTTATGAGGCTAAATCTTCATATTCAAAAAAATTTAAAAGTTTGGAACTAGGAACTGGAACTAGTTCCAGAGATATTTTGGAACTTTCCCATCAGCCTCGATTTTCCCCAAAACTTTTTGTCTTTAACTATATGGTACGAGCCCTAGTCATTAAGAAATGGTCAATTTTTCATGTTTTTGGTATTATTTGATAGAGAATCAAAAGCTCTACAACATAAC